TTGTTGTCCCCAAGCCGAAGGGAGGGGTCCGCCCCATCTTGGACCTTCGAGATTTAAACAAGGCGGTCATAAAACACAAGTTCAGAATGGTGACCTTGGCATCGGTCATCCCAGTGCTACAATTCGGAGACTGGTACACGACTCTTGACCTCAAGGACGCGTACTTCCACGTGGCGATCAGACCCAGCCACAGGAGGTTCCTCAGGTTTATGGTGGCCCAATCCCATTTTCAGTTTACGGTGCTCCCTTTTGGTTTATGTACGGCACCGAGGGTATTCACGAAATGCATGGCGGTGGTTGCCGCATATCTCTGCAAACAAGGCGTACACGTGTTCCTGTACTTCAACGATTGGCTGATCCGAGGTCGCTTGTACGGGCAGGTAGAAGCTCACATGGCACTCACAAGACCCCTCTTCCTAAGGTTGGGACTCATGATAAATGTCAAGAAGTCATCCCTGGCTCCCTCCCAACAGTTAGAATTCGTGGGAGCCCTCCTCGATTCGAGGGTGGCAAGGGCGTTCCTGCCCAAGAGCAGGTTCCTCTCCATAGTGGAGCTGATCTCGGCGTTAACCTGGTCCCCTATCACGATCCCTCGGGTCTGCTCCAGGCTCCTGGGCCATATGGCGGCATGTATGTGCACGGTCCGCCATGCCAGATTGAGGATGAGACCCCTGCAGGCGTGGTTGGCGAGGGCCTTCAGCCAGTCCAGGGGGCTTTGGAGGGTGGCAAGGGCGTTCCTGCCCAAGAGCAGATTCCTCTCCATAGTGGAGCTGATCTCAGGGTTAACCCGGTCCCCTATGACGACCCCTCGGGTCTGCTCCGGGCTCCTGGGCCATATGGCGGCGTGTACGTACACGGTCCGCCATGCCAGGTTGCGGATGAGACCCATGCAGGCGTGGGTGGCTGCCCCGCCCCCCTCCCTGATGCTGGTCACTGATGCGTCCGACCTGGGCTGGGGAGCACACCTGGGGCGGCACAGGACTCAAGGCCTTTGGTCCCCCTCCGAGCGAGCCCTGCACATAAAGGTCCGGGAATTGCGGGCGGTGAGGAGAGCCTGCGAAGCGGCTTTGGCACCTGTGCGTCAAGCACAGAATCACACCGCAAGCGGAGTACCTCCCGGGGTGCAAAAACCTGCTGGCGGACATGCTGAGCAGATCCTTTGGAACCCAAGAGTGGACCCTCAAGGACTCGGCTCTCCGCCAGGTTTTCCGCAGGTGGAGTTATCCCCGCCTAGACCTGTTCACCTCGGCAAGCAATGCCAAGTGCAGGAACTACAGTTCCCTGCTGGGGCTGGGGAAATATTCCCTGGGGGATGCCCTGACGACCGTGTGGCCAGAGGGCGTCCTCTATGCCTTTCCCCCGTTTCCCCTAATTTCCAGGGTATTGACCAGGGCAAGGACCTTTCGGTCCTCAATCATTCTCATAGCCCCCAGGTGGCCCAGACAGTTCTGGTTCCCCATCCTAGTAGACAAGCTTGTCCAGGCCCCAATAGCACTCCCTCTAGTCCGGGATCTGCTAACTCAACCCTGGGGCAAGGGGATCATGGTTCACCCAGATCTCCGATCTCTCCACCTAATGGCATGGTTTATCCATGGTTGAACCAACCTGAAAGGGAATGTTCCAAAGAGGTTCAGATGGTTCTCCTCAGTAGCAGGAAACCCTCTACTAGACGGTCGTATGCTGCCAAGTGGCAGCGCTTCTTGTCTTGGGCGTCCCGGAGAGGAGTACACCCGTTCTCGGCTCCTATTCCAACTATTCTTAACTACCTTTTCCAGCTTCGGTCTAGTGGCCTATCTTTTTCTTCTATCAAAGTCCATGTGGCATCTCTCTCCGCCTTCCACGTTGGTATGGCAGGAGTCTCCCTTTTTTCTAACCCGGTGTTAAAACGGTTTCTTACTGGCCTGGAAAAACTGTACCACTCGGTGAGGGCCCCGCTTCCCGCCTGGCCATTACCCGTGGGCATTACTTCGGTTCTTGACTACCTTTTCCAGCTTCGGTCTAGTGGCCTATCTTTTTCTTCTATCAAAGTCCATGTGGCATCTCTCTCCGCCTTCCACGTTGGTATGACAGGAGTTTCCCTTTTTTCTAACCCGGTGGTTAAAAGATTTCTTACTGGCCTGGAAAAACTGTACCCCTCAATGAGGGCCCCGCTTCCCGCCTGGGACCTTAACGTGGTCCTCCACAGGCTTATGCTACCTCCCTTTGAACCGCTGGCCACGTGTTCCCTGCAGCACCTTTCATTGAAGGTTGCTTTCATCGTGGCCATTACGTCAGCTCGAAGGGTGTCAGAACTAAGGTTGCTAACTGTAGACCTGCCCTACCTTGTTTTTTCCCATAACAATGTAAGGTTAAGGCCTCATCCAGCCTTCCTCCCGAAGGTGGTTTCTCCTTTTCACCTGTCCCAGGAGATTTATCTCCCGTTTTTTTTCCCAAAACCTCACGTCTCCCCTAAGGAGCGGGTCCTGCACTCCCTGGACGCCAAGCAGGTGCTGGCGTTCTACATTGATAGGACCAAACCGTTCTGTAAATCACAGCAATTGTTTATTGCATTTGGGGACAGGGTGAAAGGGTCGCCTATTTCCACACAAAGGCTATCACGATGGGTGGTGCAATGCATCACGGAATGTTATCAACTGGCTTGTAAAACCCCACCCAGGGTGAAGGCACACTCTACCAGGGTGCAGGAGTCCTCGGTAGCCTTTGGTGCCCAGGTACCGATCATAGAAATTTGTAGGGCAGCCACCTGGTCTTCCCTCCACACGTTTGCAACACACTATGCGCTACCTCAGCAGGCCAGGGAGGATGCAAGGGTGGGCTCTGCAGTCCTCGAATCTGTGATGTAAATATGTAAATATATAGCCGGTTATCTTTGTTCTTGATTGGTGCCTTGTCAGTGTTGCATTGTTCAAATAAATCCATTTATTGTTCACCTTTCTTCATGACTCTGGTGGTATGACTGCTCTGACCCCTCCTCCGTGGGGTTAGCTTGGAAGTCACCTACTTCGAATGGACGTGAGCAACCACTTGAAGAAGAAAAGAATGATTGCTTACCTGTAACTGTTGTTCTTTGAGATGTGTTGCTCATGTCCATTCGACTCCCACCCTACCTCCCCTTCGTCGGAGTGTCCGGCAAGAAGGAACTGAGGTGGGGCAGCGCCGACAGGGGTACTTATAATTGCTTACCTGTAACTGTTGTTCTTTGAGAAAAGGCATACAAAACTTACTTAAGGCCCCTTGTAGTTTTAGGCTTTTCTTATTGCTCCTTTAATCCCAGAGCAGAATTTCAGAGTTATGGCTATCATTTCACCCTTCCTCACTCTGCAGATCCCAGATTTAAATAGCATACAACTTAATAAGACGCGGTGCACGCAGTGCGCACACCTACTTCGAATGGACATGAGCAACACATCTCGAAGAACAACAGTTACAGGTAAGTACCCGTTCTTTTCTTCTGGTGTTGAGTCCGGGAGGAGCATTTCTTCCACAGGGTTGTGGTATCTACCTTGTAATGGTGATATAAACTTCCCATTTATCCCTGGGCTTTGTCAGTGACTTTTGAATTAACTGTTTTTTTTAAAACACAATCCTGTTTTCCCTAATCTCATCTGTAGAATTCAAGTGGTTTCTTATTGTCACACAGTGGTGCCTCACAGCTGTTGCTTCCTGATCACTCCCCTGGACTCTTAACCCATAATGAAGAGGAAGGCTTCTAACACCTATTAAAATTATACCATACAAAACTAAATTGAGTGACTAAGTGGCACCTAAAGAAGCCTTTTGCGTATTATTTATTTGAATTGAGTCTCTGTCCAATTTCCAGACTTACCCCACTTGCTAGTACGATACTGAAAACTATTACAGGCATCCTTTGAGTCAAAGCCAAGAAGTTTCAAGCAGGAGGAATGATTCAGGGACAACATAAACCACTTCACAAAACACTTAGTTTATGGAGGAAATTAGTTGCTAAGTTCATTTTTTTAAATAAATGTTATTTAGTTCTGTAACATGCCTTCCTAGACACACAGGATGTAAAAGTCTTTAACACAATAAATCAAAATGGGTTTATAAAGAACACAATAAATCAAAATGGGTTTATAAAGAACGTCAGGTCACATGAACACGATCACCTTTTAATACAACTTCATTAAACCAGCGAATGAAGTTACTGTACATCTAAGATCTGAATTCTGGTACATCATTTGATATTATCTTGAAATCTTATTTGGAAAAACTAATTGAAATTGATTTGGTCATGGGTGCTGCCATGTGGATGGAATGGCAGCTGAAAGACTAAAGAAACTATTGGTGACTAATGAAGGGTCCTAGAGAGATAGAAATATAGTCAGGGAATAAAAAATGAAACTGAATCTGTTAAAGTGCAAGCTATTGTAGCTGGTGGAAATCTGAAACTCGAGTATTCAAAGGGAGAGAAATCTGGCATTCAGTAACATAAAAAGGCCCAAGTTTGATCATAGTGAATTGAATATGAGCTGGTACTGTGAAATGGGGGGAGGAGGGAGCTCAGGCTATGTGCACAGAGACAACGTATTATGGAGAGCAGTGATCTTAGTCCTTTTTCATTTCTGTACCAGCCAGACCACTCCTAGAATATATTCCATTCCATGCTGGGCACTTCAAGAAAATTGTAGGCAAAGTGAAAGCCTTTAAGAGAAGAGCAAAAGAATCATGAAGATTGGAGGGAGCGACTTACGGGGACAAACTGAAATAATAGCAGTGCCCAACTTTCATTTAAGAAAACCGGTTCATAGAGGGAAAAACCTCTTAGCTCAGGCCTGGGCAAAATACTGCCGTATCCAGCCCGCCCAGATCTGGCACCCCAGTCTCCTGCCCCAGATCACAATCCCCTCCTACTCTAGGTCACATCCCAAACCCCTGCACTCCAGTCGCCTGCCCTGGGTGTCAACCACCTGCTTCATCCCAACTCCCTCCCAGACTCTGGTTCCCCACCTGCACCACAGTCCCTTACCCCAAGCTCCCTTCTGCACCCAACCTCCATCCCGGACCTCGCATCTCCATTGAAATAATGGAAGAGTGCAGCCCTCAACCACTTTCCAAAATCTTGGAGTTGGCCCCCATCAAAAATTATTGCCCACCCCTGTCTTAGCTCCATTTCTTTGATTAACTTGCAGTTTCACTATGGATATGTGGGCCTGCTTTCTTCCTCACCCTGTCTTACTAAATGAGCCAGGTGGAGGCTTCAAAGGAAAACACACCTGCTTGCTCAAAACCAACCCTTGTAGCAAAGCCTACACCACAGTTCTCTCAGTGATCATTCCAGGTGGTTTAAGAATTGGAGAGAGTTCTTACCAGCCAAGCATCTTCATTCACAACCTTTTCCTTTCATTCTCATTCATACCCTTTCCACTGTAGTAACCAAGAAGGGTGTTTTGTGGCACTATGCACATGATGCTTATTCATCCCACAATGAATTAGTAGAAATGCCAGGTAAAGGGTGCAAGGAATGCTCACTGGGTCACACAACAGGCATTGCTTGACAGTCTCCTGCCAAATTTCAGGTGACCCTATTGTCCTTTCTCCCACTTTTAAAAACACCTTCTAATTTGATCAGACTAGTGCACATTTATTGATCTATTCATAGGAATATAAAATCACCTGCATATTTTCAAACCTGCTGTTTAGTTCCATAAATGTTCTGCATCCAAATACAACTAATAACGTATGACGCCTTTGAAAATGAGTTTTATTAGTTTCACAGTGAACTGCCCCATAACCTTATTTGACTGGAGAGAAATCTAACATTGCAACATCGAGTATATCTACTGGGCAGGAGTTTTTTTACGTCTCCATTTCAGTAGTTTACGCAGCAGTGATACAACCAAAGGCAGTGCCTGAATTTTGCTTAATGGAATGCTCTGCAGGTCTCGCAATATTGTCTGCATTTTGGTGAGGAGACTGTTGATCTGAACACGTTTGGAGTGCAGTAGCCCCAGTTGACTTTCTTCTGTCTTGGTGGAGTCTTTCACCTGTAAAATAGTCAATTTAAAGAAAGCTTAATCTTACAAGTTAACCAAAAAGGCCCCATAATTAATACTTTTATAGTCCCATTCTAGAATGTAAAAAAATGCAGCACTAACAATGTAAAACACATTGCATGAGACTGAGCTTTTATTTAAACCACATTAAATCTTCATCTGTAAATTGAAAAACATAAAATAGCTAAATACAACTTGAAGTTGTGTGTTCCTAGAAGCCCAAGTGAGTTAAGGGGCTATTTGCCTCAGAAAATAAATTAAACTCACACCTTTTTTACTGTGGAATCCTCCTAGTGAATCCTTTTTCACTGAAAATAATCCCTCAATGAATCATTGTGTGAGAAGACTCACTGTTATCAGGGCATGCCGCAAGAAATGCATTTGGATTTTATTTGCTGTCACATTCTAGAGTAATTTCTACAAAGCCACCCTCCTTAAAAGTCTAAGGAAGGACCAACAGTGATCCTGATTTCTTCAAAGAGAACCTGAATAAAGTTGAAGCAAAATGCAGGACAATGTAGCACTTTAAAGACTAACAAGATGGTTTATTAGATGATGAGCTTTCGTGGGCCAGACCCACTTCCTCAGATCAAATAGTGGAAGAAAGTAGTCACAACCATATATACCAAAGGATACAATTAAAAAAAATGAACAAATATGAAAAGGACAAATCACATTGCAGAACAGAAGGAGGATGCGGGGGGGTGGGAAGGGGGAGGAAGGAAGGTAAGTGTCTGTGAATTGATGATATTAGAGGTAGGGAGAGTGGGATGTTTGTGAGTTAATGGTATTACAGGTGATAATTGGGGAAACTGTCTTGATAATGGGTGAGAAAGTTCAAAGACTTGTTAAGTCCCTGGTGGTAAGTGTCGAATTTTAACATGAATGACAGTTCAGAGGATTCCCTTTCAAGTGCAGATGTAAAAGGTCTTTGTAGCAGAATGCAGGTGGCTAAGTCATTTAGAGAGTGTCCTTTCTGGTTAAAGTGGCAAGAAACTGTTTTCTCTTTGTGATCTTGTCTGATATCTGTTTTGTGGGCATTAATCCTTTGGCGAAGTGTCTGAGATGTTTGTCCAATGTACATAGCAGACGGACACTTTCGGCACATGATAGCATAGATTATATTTCTGGATGCGCAGGAATATGTGTTCTTGATCTTATAACTCACTTGGTTAGGTCCAATAATGGTATCAGCAGAATGAATATGTGGACAAAGCTGGCAACGGGGTTTGTTGCAAGGGAAGGTACCAGGGTTGGTATTAGTGTGGTATGTCCTGTGGTGGTTGGTAAGAATCATCTTGAGGTTAGGTGGTTGTCTATAGGAGACTATGGGTCTGTCTCCCAGAGCCTCTTTGAGTATGGTATCCTGTTCCAATATAGGCTGTAGTTTATTGATAATGTGAAGTTGGCGGTGAAACTAATCTTGCCGTCTCCAATTTGTCTTTCACCTGCAAGCAAATTTCTTAAAGGTGAGTGTGGGGAGGTTCCATAGCGGGACTTTCAGCTGTTCAGTGATCAATACATCAGTGTGGAAAGGTTCTGGGATTTGTGGTCTCTAATTTGCTATTTATTAGGGTATGTCAACACTGGGGGGGTTTTCTGGGCTACTGGAAGTATTCCTGAAAAACTCTGCTGTGTCCAAGGAATGCATTTGCTCTTCCGCTTTTTTTTGTGGAAGAGCAAACACGCTCTTTTGGGGAGCCCTGTATACCTCGTTATACGAGGGTTAAGGGCTGTGCCGAAAGAGGAGACTTTTCCACCATTTGGCTCTGTCTAGACTGGGCCAAATGGCGGAAAAAGCCTCTTCCAGAAAAGCGATTGGAAAAAGCTACATGAATTGCAGAGTGCAATTTGCATAGCTTATTTCGAAACTCCCCCCCCCCATCATGTAGACCTAATCTTAGTGTGAGCTTGGATCTTCCTGCTTCAAAGCTGCAGAACCCCCACCACTAGCGCCAAGAGATTTCCATAGCTGCTGGTAATAGTAGGAACAATGGTAAAGAGCTCAGTAGCTCTGTTTCCATCCAGCAGAGGGCACTGATGTACACGTTTGCCTGCAAGTTCGCTACCCTATTATTAAGCAGGGCCAGCTGAGCAGAGATCAAAATGTCCATTTCATAGGATTAGTTCTGAATTGGAAAGAAAATCATTTGAGTTTTGTGAAAAACAGGATGGGGGGGGGGAGGGGAATTAGTATTAGATCAATTGAAACATTTTTTGATCGGAAAATAAAAACTTTTGTTTCATTTGGCGTTTCTTAGAATGCATTTCAAAATGAGAAATAATTTTGAAACAACAAAAGCCCATCTGTCCTGAAAATGTTAAAATGGAATGTTTTTAACTATACTTCTCATTTATTTTCTGAAATGACATTTCATCAGAACCATGGGAAAATTCAGTTTTGCCAAAATAGCATTTTCCGATGGAAAAATGTTCCAGTATAAAAATTTTAGTTAGCTCTCTCTAGCAGCAATTGCAGATGTGGATTACACTTACTAAATAGTAAGGATTTTTAACAAAGGACTCCAGACTTTGTCACATATCTCAGTCAAACCATTTCTATGAAGAAGTTAATGTGTTGTCCATTGGGACAGCTTAGTCTTATTAATTGGAAATGGGATTTATAATGCTGGTGCTTAATCAGGAGAACTTACTTTTAGCCTACGCACCATGTTGAAATAGATGCAGTTTTGGTTTTTAGTAAACAATAAGTAGATTTCATCCTGAGCCACAATTTTAATCTTGATATAAACGTTTAGCTTCATGAAGATGGACTGGAAAGGAGGCGCATGAACATGATGGCTGAAGTCATTCCAACTCCAGTGCTTCTGTCTTCTTCCTTTCTTATCAAAGTAGGAGCCAGAGTGGTGATCCAGATTCAACCTAGAGAAAGAGCTTGAGTTAAGGCATGCAGAAGACAAATGTGCACACTGCTTGGGGAATATAAAAATGAAGAATGGTTCTCCTTGGCCCCTTCAAGCCCATTTTGGCTTCACTGGTGTAATCGTTGCCCTCGGTGTCGTTTCTCCTGATGTTCTGCAGTATGACTGAGGGTATGTCTACACTACAGCACTAATTCGAACTAAGTTAGTTCGAATTAGTTAATTCTAACTAAGCTAATTTGAATTAGCGCATCTAGACTTAAAAACTAGTTCGAATTAGCGCTTTGCTAATTCGAACTAGCATGTCCACACTGAGTGGAGCCTGAACCGAGGCTAAGGATGGCCGGAAGCAGTGCCGGCAGGGCATCAGGTTAGGACTTAGAGCGTGAAGCTGCTGTCTCAGGCTACCCGAGGGCTGTGCTTAAAGGGACCCGACCCTCACCCCGGACAGACAGTTCTCAGGGGTTCCCCGCTTGCAAAGCAGTCCTGGCTTGGAGTGCCCTGAGTGCCCACACTCGGCACATCACAGCACTCAGCCATCTGCCCGGCTGCACTTGCTGCAGGCTGCCATCCGGGGGGGGGGGGGTCAATTGAGGGGCTTCAGGAGAGCTTCTACCCCGAGGAGCCCGCAGAGCCACCCCAGTCCTCCCCATCGGGGGCTCGTACCCCATTCCTCCCTCATCTCCTTCCACTTACCCCTCCCTAGCCCCCCTTCCTGATGTACAAAATAAAGGACACGTCTGTTCAAAAATAGAAACTCTCTTTATTGAACAGAACTTGGGGAGAGGGGAAGACAGAGGGTGGGAGAGGGGAGGGCAACTAAAATGATCAGGGGTTTGGAACAGGTCCCATATGAAGAGAGGCTAAAGAGACTGGGACTTTTCAGCTTAGAAAAGAGGAGACTGAGGGGGGATAGGATAGAGGTCTATAAAAGCATGAGTGGGGTGGAGAGGGTGCATAAAGAAAAGTTCTTCTTTAGTTCCCATAATAGAAGAACTAAAGGACACCAAATGAAAGGAATAGGTAGCAGGCTTCAAACTAATAACAGAAAGTTGTTCTTCACAAACCAAATAGTCAACCTGTGGAACTCCTTGCTGCAGGAGGCTGTGAAGGCTAGGACTATAACAGAATTTAAAGAGAAGTGAGATAAAGTCATGGAGGTTGGGTCCATGGAGTGCTATTAGCCGGGGGGAAGAAATGGTGCCCCTGGTCTCTGTTTGTGGAAGGCTGGAGAGGGATGGCACGAGACAAATGGCTTGGTCATTGTCTTCGGTCCATCCCCTCCAAGGTACCTAGTGTTGGCCACTGTCGACAGACAGGCTACTGGGCTGGGTGGACCTTTGGTCTGACCCAGTACGGCCATTCTAAGCTCAGGGTCAGGGGTCTCAGTGGACGACCTTGATTTTCATGCAAACCTGCTCCTGGGTGGCCAGGCTGCCAGCTATCCTGCCCTAGACGGCCACTTTCCTGTGCCTAGTGCAGAGGTCGTGGACGAGGTCCACTATATCTGCACTAGACCAGGCGTGCGCCCACCTCTTGCGGACCTGGGCAGGCTCCCGGGAGCCGCCAGCCTGGTCCCGGGAAGAGGAGGAGGGCTGGGGGGCAGCGGGTGGCTGGCTCGAGCCGTGCCAGGTGCAGGGTCTGCTGGCTGGGGGCTGGCAAGCTTGCACCTGGCATGGGCACCGTAGCCAGCCCGGGCCCCTTTAAGGGCTCCGGGGCTGGGAGGGGGGCAAAAGAGTTTCCCTGGTGGTACCCAGAGTGGCCACCAGGGAAAGCTGGGGAGGGCTAGCCTCCCACTAGTTTGAATTAAGTGGCTACACCGCCCTTAATTCGAACTAGTTAATTTGAACTAACGTCTGTTAGTTCGAATTAACTTTGTAGTGTAGACATACCCTGAGATCAGAATCAGGCCCAACGTTGTGCTTGTGAACAGACCCAAACACAAAGGCTTTTAGTTTACAGTACAGTAACCCATTTCAAGTGATTGATGCACTTTGCTTGTAAGCAGAGCTGGGTAGGAAACACTTTTCCCATCGTAGGAAAATTCTGGAGATTCTGAAAAAAATGTTCTCAGCACCCATTTGGAGATCGGTTTTTCATCGTAAGTTCTTGCGAACCGACAACCCTTCTGCTTTCCCCCCCCAAAAATCTGCTCCGGTCAGTTGTGAAGTTTGGTTTCAATTTTGACTTGATTTAAACTGTTAATGTAATTTGCTTAAATTTTGAAAGGAAAGGTGGGCTCATGCTGAAAACAAGAGACATTTGTTGGGAAATGTTAAAATGGGACATTTAGAGAATTGAAAGCAGTTTTCAAAAAAAGTTTTGACTGCAGAAATGTGTTGAAAATTCCCTATTCCTTCAAACCAGTTGTGGTTATGTTCCTGACCAGCCCAACTTAACAACAGCTTCCACAATGAAGGGAAAGTGAGGAAAGGGGAAGGAGCACTGGGAACCAGTTGCAGCCAGAATTTCAAAAGAACCTAGCTCCTCTGGTGATATTTGTGAATTCAGGGCTCAACATGTAGAGGTTCTTCATCTGCTGCTGGATTGGGAGTTGAGTTCTTGAAAATGTGACGCAGGCTGAGGATGCTGAGCCTTTTTTGACCCCACTGCATCTGAGCCCACTTAACTGAAGTTCACTTGATTCATTCTGACCATATTGGCTTCATCCTAAGCAAACAGCTACTCTACAGCCATCAGACACTTCCTAGTTGTGGCCTGTTAAACATTAGGGGAATCCAGTGTGTGTGGTGCATCTTCCAGTGCTGAGCAAGTACTTGGTTAAATTCAAGTTTACAGGGGATTTTCCACTCTGGTCTATATTCCTGAACTAAGGGAGCTCTCACCATCAAGGTGTATCCCTTTGATGCTTTTCAACAGTGGCACTATACAGGGTTGCAGTTTTTACTCCCCACTATATACACTTTAGGTGTTGGTATCCAAAATACAACAGTAACTGGAATCATTGTAAACGCAGCTGGGACAGGGTAGGTGCAGGGGTGCTGCTCCCAATGGGTGCTTATGGCTAGCTGTGGAGGAAGAATGCTTCCCACGTAGCCTCTCTCTCAGCAGCATTTCTGGCTATAAGATTAACTACCTCCAAGCAGGCGGCCATCTTTCAAATGCTGTGCCCCCAAAGCTGTTTCCTGAGTATTCTTTTCAGTGGCTTCAAAAGGGGATTATTTCACTGAACATTGCAAATGTCAGAGCTGAGTGGTAAAGTCACACACGTACTCCTCAAAAGAACTGTTAAAGGAGCATCACAATTGCTTCCTCCAGTTGTCTGTGGAAACGGTGGGAAGAAATTAGACCAGGCCTTCTACTGTCTTTTGATGCTAAGTGTAAGGCACTTACATATCATGGGGATGTACATGCAGTTCGATGAAAAACTACTTATATGTGTGGAACTTAATTCCTTTGTAACTTTGTGGGCTAGTGCCCCCCCCCCCCAAAAAACAATGTCATAATGCTTTTGATCCCTAATTCCCACTGACAGAGCAAAATGACGCTGCCCCTGCAGCTTTTCTTGGGAGTTTAGTACAGCCACTTAGGCAGTGAGTGGCTGAGCACTTGTGCTGTGTGTTGCGTGGCTACGTTATATGCTCTGGAAGGTGAAGGTCACCCTAATGCAGAAGGCTGCACTAGGCTTAGGCACTACGTAAGCCCAAGACTCATGTATTCTGGTTTGGCCTCCTGCAAGTCTTTTGGCCCAAAGTGCTTTGCGTGACCTGTTTTCCATACTGAATGGTGTCATGTTCAAGCCAGTTCTCCTTGTAGTAGAAACAAAGAGAAAACCCTTTCAGGCACTAAGTTCCCGCTAAGCTGCATGGCCCTCTGATTAAGCCCCGTGCAGGTGTCAGGGCTGCAGCAGGGACGGATATCTCTCCCCAAACCCTGAAGCTTTCATTGCCAAACAAATAGCTATATGTATGTGTATCTTACGCATGTGCAGCATTTCAATTACAATTAAATACATGTTCTCTCTCCATTTGGCTATATGAGAGTTAACTTGCTGGATAAAAAGAGACAAATATAATAGAAAAATCAGCACAATTTCAGAAGACGACGACACCGGCAGAGTGCCAATCAGGGTGACAGCTCAGAGAGTTGAGAAATGGTCCCAAAATGAGTTCAGATAGTTTTTCGCCTTTGTCTGTCTAAATTTTTTCCAGTTTAAATATAAAGAAAAATTGAATCTTACCTCACTGCTACCCAAAACTGACCAGGACAGCAAAGGTCAGTGAGTGGCTTGGCTTAGCCATGTTATGTTGTGAGTCAAGTATGAAAAGAAATGCAAAAACAATAATATGCCCCAGCTATGCTGTTTTGGAGCACAAATTAAAAACATGTTTGAACTAGTCTACATTCAAATGAGATGACAGGAAGGTATATTAGTTTTATTTTGAAACCAAGGGATTTTTAAATAGATTGTGATAGTCATCTATTCTATATAGCCCTTAATTTATTTCTACAGTGAAGCACTGACCCAAAGTCTCCCCTCTCCCAACAGTTCAGATATAAATCAAGGGCCAGATCCTTGGCTAGTAGAAATCAGCTACACCATTTATAGCAGTTTAGGATCTTGACCAATGTTCCTCTAATCTTTTCTATCCCTGTGTGGATTTTTTCCATCCATACGGGGAATAAATTTTATATACACCGAGGCATGTGTGAATTTGCACCACCAATAGAAACACACACCTAGCTGTGGGTGCTCTGCTAGTCAGACGGGCAGCATTTAAACTTCTGAGCGGCCCCCATACAAGCATACCTCAAAAAGGGAACGCTGATCTTAACCCTAATATTTCCCTTCAAAAAACTAGTGCCAGTCCTGAAAGAAATACTGAATGCTTGTGTTAACTGAAGAAGGGCAGAAGCAGCTCAGCTAACAGCACTAGACATTGTGATTGTGGAATGAGAAACACGTGGTTAAGCAATCTTAAGTTTTAAGATTATGCAGAGGCAGCTCATTTCAATAAACTCATTCTCATGGTGAAAACAGGACTGTGGCAATGCGCCCTTTCTGGGATTTACTGTTCATGGCTGCACTATAATAATTCTCTTGCTGATCCATGATTCTGCTGTGGCCCAATTGCTACCAGAATATGAACAAGTGCTATGTGCTATGACTCCACGTGGGGAAAAACATTAAAAAGGAGGGACCATGTTCCCTACAGTCACAAAGCGAGGGTGAGACAGAATGAAATAAGGGAAACAAACAGATGGAATACTTCTGAAAACAAGAGGAACCACATTGCATTCTTAAAGCGATCGCACGGGCGCTTCCAGACCAGGGAGACAAAGAAGAGTAATGGAAAGTCAGCGGGAGAGAGAGAGAGGTAGAAAACAGAGGCTTGGGTCTAATGGGTCAGTGATATTTTACTGCTGCTAGGAATTGCTGCGTTAGAGTGTTGTAAAACTCATACTGCTTCGTGATGGATGAAAGTGCAATGTGTCTGGAGGCAAACACTAGGAGGGTAGTGGTCTTTATGGACATGTTATTACAAAAGCTATTTACAGTGATTTGTAACAGCCAGTAAGACATTTAATGTATCCATTAATTAGTTTCAACAGAGGGATGACTTGTAAAATTTAAATCAGCACATACTTGCTTCCCAGTTGTAAGAGAGTAAATTGAAAAACTGATATTTATGTGGTGCATTGATGTCTTTCATTCCCTGGCTTTTAGAAGGTAAACTTTCTAGGGAAAGGAGCAGCTAGGGGGTTGGAAATTAAGATTTGATGACTTAAAAAGTGGTGATTCCTGATGCAAACAATAAATCATTGGATATTAGGGTTTATTCTAGGGAAGAAATTGGTCACCTAGCAATTCCTTATGGCCTGGAGCATTCACAGGATATGAGAAACAAAGCAAATGCAAGGTTGCCATGAAGCCAAATGTACTGGTCCTTGTAACTGTCATTCAGCCGCACCGACTAATGTACAGAGGATGTCAAAAGTCAAGAATGTGGCCTAACTGGGCTTAAGGCAACTGATAGAAAGGGGGTAGCAGTGGACTATGGCCAGGTCTGCACTAGACCCAGCAGCTCAGCTTAAGGTACCCAACTCCTGCTACGCAGAATACATAGCCAGAGTCTGCTTACTTTCAGCAGTTTGCTCCCATTGGCTTCCCTTACTCCTCACAAGAGGAGGAATCCTGGAGGCTGCTAGGGGCCACCGCAGAGTCTGATTTAGCGACTCTCGATTAGATTTGCTGAATCGAACTCCAGAAGATCCATCGCGCCAGCGGTGATCTTCCTTTTAGTGTAGACAAGGCCTGATATGCGTAAGTTGGGTAATCAAACTCTGCTGAACACTCAAAGTACAGGCAGCTTGTCCAAAGACGTCGGCTTACATTTAACATGCATAAAACAGAGCAGACAGCAGCTACTGCCCTCTTTAAAGGAGAGGTGTGACACTCTGACTACAACTACCAGCGTGTGAGACTTGATCTTGGTCTGCATGGCCCTCGCCTCAGCTACACTGGAGCACCATGTGGCCTACAGTCTGTGAAGGTTACACCACTGGGTTAAGGGTACGGGGCTGCCTTGGGTCCACTGTTGCTGTCTCTCCTAAGTGCCAGTTTTAGCTCAGAGGTACCTTGTGCTCCCCTGCTTGTGTGTGTATGAATGTGTTCTGTCTCACGTGCACATTGCAAGCTCCTCAGGGCACCTTTTGTCTTGTGTTTGTGCAGCACCTTGCACAGGGCCCTAGTCTATGATTGGGGCTCATAGGTGCTGCTGCAGTACTCAATAATCAAGCTAGCTGGATGGGCCAAATGAGCACCCATGGGTTTCAGTACTTAGCTACATTCACCTTCTATATTCTTAGCTACTGGATGCACTGGGAGCATTCCAAAGGACAGCAGGGTTTCTGTCACTCTGCTACCCTTTCTCCACCCCCACAGCTGGACGAGTTCAGTGGTGTATTGCTCCTTCTCTATGGACAGCTAGCAAGAGGTTCAGCTCCTTTTCTAGGCAGGCTGGCTTTACTGCAGCTGGTGGAAGTGTGCCAAATCTCCATCCGCCCCTACCTGCTTAGCCATGGAGGCTTCCTCAGCCCCAAAAACAAGGCGGTGTCCACCGTGACTGAACATGAGGCCCAGGCTTCTTGGCGGTAATCATTAGTACTGGCTGGAAGACTGTCTAACAGTCCTTGTGCTCACCAGATGAGTCCATTCCTATAGTTGCATGTCGCATAGCCCCAGCTTGTGAAGAATCCTCGAATCCCTGAGTAGATATCGTCCTCTAGGATGACGTATATAAACTGTACTTCCTTGACATTCACGATCAGGATGGCAATGTTACCTGATGGATAACTGAAAAATAGTTAAGGAAAACCCTCCCCCCCAAAACAAACGAACACCCCTCCCCATACTGCCCCTGCAATAAGGCAGATTTTGGTGGAACACCACTCATGGTAGACTCAAAGGCTGCATCTAGAATGGCAAGTTTTGCTTTTGCGGAAAAACTTGCCAGCTGTCTACACTGGCCACTTGAATTTCTGCAAGAACACTGACGATCTCATGTAAGACTGTCAGTGTTCTTGCGGAAATACTATGCTGCTCCCGTTTGGGCAAAAGCCCTCTTGCACAAATGCTTTTGCACAAGAGGGCCAGTGTAGACAATGTGGTATTGTTTTGCACAAAAAAGCCCCGATCACAAAAATGGCGATCGGGGCTTTCTTGCGCAAAACCGCGTCTAGATTGGCACGGACGCTTTTCTGCAAAAAGTGCTTTTGTGGAAAAGCGTCCGTGCCAATCTAGACGCTCTTTTTTTTTCTGTTAAAAGTATTTGCGGAAAATCATGCCTGTCTAGATGTAACCAAAGGGTCAGATTCTTGGCTGGTTTAAATCAAGATAGCACCACTGCAGTTGCTGAAGTTATGCTGCTTTACGTCAGCTGTGGAGCTAGTTCATAATACATAGTTTATCTGCTAGCACTGGAGGAAACTCACAGCCAGAAAGACCTCTCAGTCAGATCATTCTGAAATTTGACCCATGATGTCATAGAATACATCTTTGTAGGATACAAAACCTGACCTGTCCCATCTGGAAAAAGAAGAAAGAATTCCTGCCCGTCAGGATAATATCTTCTTATAGGCTCATGAGGGTGGCAATACTGTAGAAATAAAATGATTTGGATTTGGTGAGGTGAAAAAACCAAAATCAAGTGTGGTGGCATGGTAGTAGGGTGGGAGATTCCAGACCTAATACCCACCAGGAATTTTTTGTGACTGTATATGCAGCACATGCACTCCAACTAAAAAAAAAATCACTATGCGACAGAGAGGCTTAGATTCCAAATACGATAGTCACAAACAATTTCTCCTCCAATATTTGTTCATCTCCAACTGGGACCAAAGGATTTGGCCCAAGAATATAAATCTTTAGATGCTGTATCTCCCATATTATGCTTGAAGTTTGTTTTGTTTGGTTTTAATTAAAAGTCTGCTAACTGACACAGGAGACTACACTCTTCATAGCTTACATTTTACACATCTTGTGTACAAAGCTTGGCTCTCTCTAATTTATAGGAGTAGCCTTTCCCTGATAATATTTTGCCAAGAGGCTTTCTTTCCATCAGACACACAAGTTAATTTGCTCTGCAATGTACTGGCAGATGATTGCAGAGAAAATATAAACATGTCTTTACGTAGGGGTTGGCTTCAAGCGCTGCATGAAGTTGAGCTCCATGCTTCCTCGTAAGAATGAACCGCAGGGTCGTTTGCCTCTCCTAGAAGAATGCTGAACAGTTGCCTCTGTTAGTGGGGGTGGGATGAGCATTTTTACAGTCTAGCATTTTAGCATTACTAAAGCAACAGCTAATTCTGACATACACAAAGAGGCCTCCCCCACTATGTTGCTCTCAAGGAGATTAGAACTCCGTCTCAATAGCTTCCAGGGTTTTGCATTTCTCCTGCGTGAAGTGACTGATTCTGGCCACAAACAAGAGCCCTAATTTATAACCAGAGGATACATATTTGGACTCTGCAAACTAGCTAAAAATTATCCCCTGGTTGCGGGGGAGGGGAGGTTGTGGAGGGAGAAACAAATGTTGCTCTTGCTTTTTTTATGAAGCGCAAAAGCTGACGGTTCTAGATAGGAGGCTTTGTCATGCACATAGCTCGGGGGGAAGTAGTATAATGGATTTCTAGAGCTACAAAAGAGAAACCCTATCGCTTGTGATGTAAATCAAGGTAATTTTATGTCAATTTACATGCCCTGTAACATCTTTTTGCTTTGGAAAGGAAGAGAGATGGCAACATCATAACCCTTGTTCAAAATGGAGGTTTGGTGTCAAATGCCTTCCACTCCTATTGTTTTCTACGCAGGCCTGCTGATGGGGAGGGGAGGGGAAGGCAGAGGGGGTAATTTTTCTGGGGCTCGGTAATTCAAAGGGTCCTGGGGCTCTTGGTCACCACCCACCTCCCTCTGCGTGTAACTGTATAACCGCTGACATGTTCAGTGGTTGCAAGTTTACTTGAATAAACGCACTTTAACACTCCTAGTCTGCTGTAATCTCACTGTTTGCATGACTGATGCCAGCAAGGTGAAGTAGTGGGGAAACAGAACACAGGAAATCAGAGAGATGCTGAAGGATGGATCCTGCACTGCCCTGGCTCCCTCCTCTGCTGTTTGGCAGAGGTGGGTTTGTTCTAGGTCTCTGTCACACACTTGGCCCCTGCTGGATTGAGAGGTCTGTTACCTGTGTCTATTCTTGGTAAAATGGATGGGCCTTTTACCAGGGGATGGAAAAAATACAACATCCTTTTTAACGCTGAACAATCAGCTACTGTGCTGATTGGAAATTTTGTTTCCAATTGTGAGAATTCAGAAGGGAAATTGAGAGTATGAGATCACTGGTCTGAACCAGCCACACTTCCTGAGAGCAGCTACTGGGCCTGCTTCGATCCACCTCCTGCCCTTTCTCTGCCAGTGTTTCTCAGTACTAATAGGCAACATCCATACTATTTCCTGTCTGGATTTCTAGAGAGACACACCACTACTGGGGTCAAATCCTGAATAGCCTAATGTGCAGAAATGGAGTCAAGTCTCAGACACCAGTCCCACTGATGAGCAATGTTAGGTTTGAAGTTGGCTCTCTAAAGCTTTTGAGTCAATACAGACATTTTCCTCAATGTCTAGGTGAAGAAGAGCTTTGCGTAGACCTGAAGAAGGGTACGTCTAGACTACAGGCTTTTGTTGACAGAGGCTTTGTCGACAAAGCTTCTGTCGACAAAGAGCGTCTAGACTGCATCCAGTTCTGGCAACAAAGCAAGCCGCTTTGTCGACATGAGAGTGTAGATGCAATAACTCCTTCTGTCGACAGAACTCTGTCAACAAAAGGCTTTATTCCTTGTAGAATGAGGTTTACCGCTGTCGACAAAACTGCCGAGTTCTGTCAACGTTATGTCGACAGAACTTGGCAGTAGTGTATACGCAGGTATTGTTTTGTCAACAAAAGTCCACTTTTGTCAACAAAACCCTGTAGTCTAGACACACCCGAAGAGTGCTGTGTAGCTCGAAAGCTGGTTTCCGCAACAGAAATTGGCCAGTAGAAGATATCTCGCCCATCTTGTCTCATGGACAAGTCACATCATTTTGTTGTGATGCAGTTTCTCCCGCTGTAAAATGGAGATGATAATTCCTTTCTCTCAATTGTTGTCTGTCTTGTTGACTTGTGATATCTTTCAGAGTAGGGACAATCACTTAGGGATTTGTACTTAGCACAATAGAAGCCTGATTTCTGCTGGGACTCATAAGAGCCATGACTGCACAAATAAATTAATAATAATAAACCATAATAAGCTGTCTCTGGGCAGTTCATAGAATAGACTGTATCCTCCAGAATCTTTGAGGTTGTACTGTCCCCTGGAAAGAGGGCTCTGTATCCTATTTACAGGCTCCACAGATACTTGCATTGTACTCACCTTATCTGCTGAGCCCTTGGACAAGCCCCTGAATAGACATGTAAAGTGGAGTACACAGTCCCAGAGGTAAGCGGTGACAGGGCTGAACAGATGCAAAAACTCACAGAAACCGATATTCTCTTTAAAGCAGAAGCTCAGCATATTCTTCTCACTAAGTGAGTGGAGGGTTTTGTGTCACCACCCTACTGTTCTAAATCCCACTGAGATTTTCTGTCACCACCATTGTTGTCCTTATAACAGCACTTTCAAGACATGTTGCTGAATAGACAAAATCTCATGAGTCACGGGCATTCAGCTGATTTATCTAGCTGGAATGATAGGTAATAACATCAAAAGACAATACAGCCGACAGGTTAGCATGACACACCTTTAAAAGCTCAGTTCCGGACTCTGTATCCTCGTCTTCAAGAGTTTGAGGTATCTCTGAACTCTCCTCTGAGCCCTCTTTTGAAGAGTCCGAGATTTTAAATGAAAGTTTGGTCACTGAAAGAATTTTAAAATGACCGTGTTCAGGGAATTCAGTGAAGCTCTGCCTCTCAAAGCTCTGAGTTAGTCCTAATCTCATCTATATCATGGAGCTTTTGTTTAAGGATAATCTGACTGTGCTGAAAATGTAGTCTAAACATCAGGGGAAACCTGTCAATGAGCAATATGGGTATGTCCACACTGCATTTGGGAGTGAGCCTCCCAGACAAGGTCCACAGACTTGGCCTGGCGGAGTTCATGCAAGTACACTAAAAAGAATGGTGTATATGTTGCACCTTTGGCTTCCAAGCTTGGGGGAACGGTGGACAATGCGAGACCGAGTGCGACCCAGAGCTGCAGTATCCATATAGCAATGTTTAGCCTGCTAATGCAAGTCTCTGGATTCACTCCCAGGGGTAGTGGTAGACACACCTCCTGAATGAGAGAGTTTCCCTAGGGGAGTGATGAAAGCACCCCATTTCTTAGGGTAGTTAAACTAGATGGATGTTCTGTAGGGAACAGTCCTGTACTGACCAGAAGATGGTGCACATGTGACCTCATAGCGGTCTCTTCCACCCCTGTTTGCTATGCTTCTAAATCAAACCCAATGACTAAAACAGTACCATGGTAACTGTACTTACTGGCACAAAACTTCATATACCGATTATATAATTCCCTGTATTTATCAAAACCTCTCTCTTGCAACCTAAGGACAACAAAATATATTTTAAAATCAGAAACATGTGACATTCGGTCATAATATATTATTACCTGCACATTTACATGTATCAGGGGTGGCCAAATGGTGGCTCAGGAACCACATGTGGCTCTTTTACCATTAACATGAGACTTGGCACCCCTCACATTTGCCACCAACCAGACTAGAGGGGAGGGGAGCTCAGGAGCTTTGCCTTACAACAGAATGGTAGGTTAGGGTCTTCTGCCCATTGGGGTCTCAGGGTTTCTGCAGGGTGCACCTGCTGGGACAAGAGGTTTCAACAGAAGTGGGACTGAAGCTCAGAGTCCCAGAAGGCATGCCCCAGCTCTCAAGGACGGTCAGTAATCTTGACCACCCTTGATATATATAAATAACTACTCCAGCTGAACATCCCAAGTAATATCACAGGGCAAACAAGTGTTGATGTCTTCTCCGTGAGGCAACATTGAGGGCTTGTCTATATTTACCGGAGGATCGACATTCTAGCGCCGTGGTCACCAACCAGTAGATCGCGATCTACCGGTAGATCTCAGGGGCGCTAAGAGTAGCTCTTGAGCCCTCTCTGAACTGCGCACCTGCGCAGTACATTTACATTAGATTTCCTCATGAAATGTAGGCGGAGCTTCAAGGAAGGGGCGGAGCAGTAGATCTTCGCCTGTTCTGAGACTTAAAAAGTGATCTTGGGTGTAAAAAGGTTGGAGACCACTGTTCTAGCGATTGATCTTCCATGGTTCAATTTAGTAGGTCTAGTAAAAACCCACTAAATCAAATGCTGAGGGTGCTCCTGTTGATTGTGGTTTCTCCCATCAACCTCCCCAGGACTGCCCCAGAAAATTGATGTAAGATACGTTGACTCCAACTATGCAATTGTCTTAGCTGGAATTCTGTATCTTACATTGATTTTTTTCTGCTAGTGTGGCCTGAGGTGGAGTTCACCTGGGCTCTGGGCTACTCTGACCTCTCCAAGAGCCACCACCTCTGGGTCCAAAAGAAGAGGCTTAATTGCTTGTCCATGTACATGCAGTAAAGTCTGGAAAAGAGAAGACTGAGAGAGGGCATGATAATAGCATTCAAGTGCCTAAAAGGGAGGGAGAAAAATTATTGTCTTTTACCTCTGAGGCTAGAATAAAAAGCAATGGGTTTAAATTTCAGCAAGGGAGGTTTAGATTGGATATTAACAAAAACTTCCTGTTAGGGTTGCTAAGCTATAGAATAAATTGGCTAGGGAGCTTGTGGAATCACTGGAGATTTTTAAGCGCAGGTTAGACAAACACCAGCCAGGGATGGTCTAGATGGTGCTTGGTCTTGCCATGAATTCAATACTTGATGACCTCTCAAAGTTCTACGATTTTATGAGCACTAAGTAAGTGAGGAGAACATAGAATTCTACTATAGGCTCCATCAGTTATGCTCCAATTGATCAAGAAACTCAGTAGAAAGGGATTCCAGATCCCAGCAAAGTGTTCTAGGTAAGTGAAGATTGTAAAGGAGTCCCCTGAAATTTTTGCCCAGATGGTGGGCAAAACCTGGCCACATCCAGTTATTTACACTGAATGGCTCCAGAATAGGCCCCAGTGCCTTATTTCTTGCAAGGAGGCCCTGCCCTTTGTGGGCCTTTTTAAGTCTCTCCTGATGGGTGGTCAGAAGGAAAGTTAAATGCGCCAACACACTCTACAGCACTCCCTTCTTAGCTAAGGTGACCCTATTTCCCTTGGCTGAAAACAGAACACCTAACAAAATTACTCTATTCAAGTGAGTTCAATCAGAACTATTCAGTACAAACATTCAAATTCACTTGAAGTTGACTGAGTCTCTGTTAAAAATGACAGAGTTGAGTCTTTTTATTTATCTTCTGATTGTAAAGGTTGTAGGGATTGCATGGGGGACAGGTGACACACACACACATGGGAGAAGCGACGTACTCTCCCGTACACCTCTCACATGGGAGACCAACTGACCAGACCCTCCCTGGCTGGCAATCTCCACCCTCCACGCCTGACTGGTTCCCCAGGACAGAACCACTTCTCCCGGTACTTGGTGCTGTGACTTCCCAAGGCAACACATGGGGGAACAGGCAGATTTCTGCCAGGGTTCACACCACAGTGTGGCCGACAGAAGCCATTTGGCACTGTGTGGGAGAAAAGGGACAGGAGCTTCTTCCAGCCACGGAGGGCGTGGGTGAGAGAATGGAGGGATGACCTAGTCCATGTCTTTGCAGAGCTCATCGCCCCCCCATACACACTCCCCTGTGGCTGGAAGCAGCTTGTCCCAACCAGAGTGGGTGGTGAAGGGTGCGTAGGGGACAAAGCAGCTCTGTGCTCGCTGGGGGCAGATGGAAAGGGTGCTAAGTCCCTGTTTGGGGGGCTGCTGTGAAGCCTGCAGGGTCGGAACATGAACAAGTTGGGACTCACTTTTCCCCATAAGAGGGGCTGCCCCATGCCAGTGCTGTGCAGGGCTCTGGCACATGCAGGGCTTGGCTCCTCCTGGCCAGTGTCCCGGGATGGAGGGTATTGGGCTTTCCCATGGCACCGGCCCAGCCAGAGACCTGGGGGAAGGAAGGAGCCTGCCAGCCAGGCTGTTGGTGAACTGAACACTCCAACCATGGGCTCTCTGCAAAGCACTGGAAGGCAACACATCCCACCAGAGAGGATACAGAGCAGCAGCAGGGCTGGGGGAACATGCCGGGGCATAACAGGGAGACAACAGCAAGAGGGGGAGCATGGAACGGGCTAACAGGTGGGTAACAGAGTGACAAGGAATTGGCCGTTGTCTGGCACCTGCTTGCACTCACAGCCACCACTACTACTGGCTGCAGTCAGTGCCAGCTGCAAATGCGATGGGAGCAGAGCCCTGCTGGCCGAGAGCTGATATGCAGCATAGACTGCGCTGATGGACTCGCTGAGGGGGTGGCTGGCCCTGCAAGCTGCAGCTTTGCCCAGCCTCCAGCTTTGCAAACCCCTACTGTCATTGGCCACTCGACCCCCTCACTCACCGCTGATGGGGGTGTGGCTGGTGAACAAGGATCGGGCCCGTGGCAGGCCCCGCCACCACTGACTAGGAGGGAGACAGACAATCCAGGGCAATTTGCCCATTTTTCAGAAAATGTAGGGTAGGGATGTGAAAGATTAACCAGTTAACCGTAAGCCTCATTCGCTTATTGGTTATAGTTAACCAGGGGAGAGGGTGCAGCCTCCCACTCCAGCCCCGTGGGGCCCACCACAGGCAGGAGGCATCCAGCCCAGCCCTCCTGCCTGCCCCCGTTAAATCGATTAACCTGTGAAACATAAAATGTAATCAGTTAACTAATTAAATGGACTTTTACATCCCTAAAGTAGAGGCACCTGCAGAAAGGCGTAATATGGGACTATCCCTTTACAAACAATGTCTGGTCATCGTATTCCTAGCACTTCTCACAGGGTTGGTGCAATAGAGTCCACACTGCAGGCAACGAAACAGCATGTACTGAGTGGGCTTTGAGAAGTCTCTCTGGGTATGTCTACACTAGCCCCCTAATTCGAACTAGGGAGGCTAATGTAGGCATTCGAAGTTGCAAATGAAGCCCGGGATTTAAACATCCCAGGCTTTATTTGCATCTTCCTGTCCGGCTGCCAATTTTAAATGCCACTAGTTTGGACTAACTGCCCGCGGCTACACGCGGCAGTTAAATGGTAATTTGAACTAAGTCCTGAGTTCGAATTACCTGTTACTCCTCCTGGAATGAGATATAACAGGTAATTCGAACTAAGGACTTAGTTCAAATTACTGTTTAACTGCTGCGTGTAGCCGTGGGCAGTTAGTCCAGACTAAGGGGATTTAAAAATGGTGGCCGGACGGGAGGATGCAAATAAAGCCTGGGATATTTAAATCCCGGGCTTCATTTGCAACTTCGAATGCCTACAATAGCCTCCTAGTTCAAACTAGGGGGCGAGTGTAGACATACCCTCTGAACGGGCTGTTGAGTCAGGCTTACTCTGTCTGCACCTGCCCCTCTCCTCCATCCCATCCCACACAGACACTTACTTTTGCTCAAGTTTCTTTCTGGTGTCACTCTCCATCACTGATTGCGACAGGTGAGGATGAGGAGCAATATCGATCTCATCAGAAAAGGCGCGTTCCATCAGGTCCCTCATCACACACTCAAAAACCTCCTTGTACGTTCTGCAGCACAAAAACTGGAAAATACACCATACGTGGGAACACAGTGGGACCAGCCTATAGGGAACCAGCAGAAAGTGGAACATTTCACATTCCTCCTGCTAGGCAAGCAGTCTGAGATTAGGCAATATCCTCTCAGGAGTGCTGCAGGATTTTCCCTCTTCACATGGGCTTTACTAATGTCAGTGAACCAGGTTCTCTGCTTAGCTCCATTCCAACAGCTGAGAATCTGACCCATTGACTGACCACCGGTTCCATTTTCAAGAACCCGCACTTCTGTCTCACAAGCTACTGCTCTTCCCCTCATTTCAAGCCAGCCTGTCTCCTTCCCACTGTGTCTGTGACCATCCACTCCTTCAGGAGTTTCTTCCCATTTCCACCTTAACACCCATGTCTCCTTGCCACCTTACTCCAATTTCCTTTCCATCCCAAATTGCTTGCCATCCAACTTCTCTCAGTCCTCTCAGTGTACTGCCCCTTTAGCCCTGCTTCTGCCTTCTTCCCCATCTCTGATGGCTGGTTGATGCTCTATTTTCCACATAACGGTTATCACTACAGCATTAAGAAGGAACTTTCTTCCTATGTCTCCTTCCCCTTTCCATAATATACCATCCTACATTTACAGAAACTCAGGCTCAGAGAAAAACCTGACTTGCTCATGGTCACACCACAAGTCCAAAGTAGAATCTGGAACAGATCACAGAAGTCCTAAATTGCAAACCTTGCACCTCGGTCACTGGATCAAACTGGTCCCCATTTTTTGTTGTGGATTTTCTCTCCAGTGGTATATTTCACAATGTTTTTTGTGTGACCTGGTCTTCTGTCCAACTAGGGATGCCAAATTTTGTTCCTTCCAGGGTATTATTTGACCAAAGTCTAATCCTGAATATATTGCAAAAGACTAAGCAGTTCCCTCGCTTCTAATCACGTATGTTTGGTGCTAGTTATGAAGCACTGCTAAAGCATGTTAACATATTGGTTTTCCTGCTGGAATTTTATCAGGGAAATGTAGCTTAATTGTTTAGACTACTCACTATTTCCAGTGGGTCTGTGTCCAGATCTTCTGCTGATGGAATGGGCTTTGAAGGGCTTTTGCAAAACTCACAGTAATCACCTTCTTCATCAATGTAATCTTCCTGAGAGGACACAGGAAAATGGTAAAGAGCGTTAACTTAACTAAAAAAAAAAAAAAAAAGATTGTGCATAAAGCCTAGCTGTTCACAAAAGAAAAATCACATTTATCTGAAAAGAGTCCAATTTGCACAACTCCAGAATTACCACTGTCAGGAAATTGATATATATGAGAATATCCAGGAAGTTCTAGATTACATTTAGAATTTCCTGGATGTCCTCATGACATCACTTTACAAATCTGTTTTCTGTATTCACTGGTGATTTTTACTCCTTCATCAGAGCTGGATGAAAAGTATTAATTGTGTTTCATGGGAAATTTTGAAAAGAATTTTTTTTAAAAGCCCTTATTTTTAGGTTTTGATGAGGACAGAGGAAACGGATTGAAAAAAACCTGATGATTTTAAAGGAAATTTCTACAAAGAACAGATTAATAGATTCCCAGGCCAGAAGTAACTGGTGTGACCTCCTTTATGACACAGGCCAGAGAACTTTACCAACATAATTGCTAGAGCAGATCTTTTAGGAAAAAAAATCCAATTTTGATTTAAGAATTCAGTTATGGAGAATCCATGACAACCCTAATAGTCCCAATGGTTCCTCACCCTCACAGTTTAAAATGTACACTGTTTCCTGTCTGAATTTGTTTAGTTTCATCTTCCAGCCATTGGATCACATTATACCTTTCTTTGCTCACCTGAAGCGCCCCTTACTAAATGTGTTCCCAAATATTTTATAGATACTTTTGAACTATGACCAAGTCCCTTAACCTTCTATTTGTTAAACTAAATAGATTGAGCTCATTGTGTCTGTCACATCTGGCCTCCTGCTTAATTTAATCCAGCACATGGCATGGAGATTTACCTCAGGCCATAAGCCCTGAGTGTCCTTTGTGGGGCTAGAACTGTGAGCACTGTCTCGCCCCGCAGCAGAGTTGCCTTATTATCACCATAGGCTCAAGCATGTCAACAGACAATCAGGGAGGGAACAGGGAAGTTCCAAGATCCCATTCAACACCCTACCCCCACAGCTTGTAGGTGCTGGGAACTATGGCCAATGGGAGCTGCGGGCGCAGAGCAGCATGCAGGGTGTGTGCAGAGCTGCTGTGGTAGCTTCTGGGAGCGGTGCAAAATCAGGACAGGGGAGGAGCCTGCCTGAGCCCTGCTGTGTTGCTGACTGGGAGCTGCCTGAGGTAAGTGGCACCAGCCAGAGTCAGCACCCCTGACCCCCTTCATCCTTGGCCTCATCCTTGAGCCCCCTCCCATATTCCCCACCCATCCCCACCATGAAACCCTATCCAAAATCAGAAGGCCCTCCTGCACCCTAAATCCCTCCCAGAACCCACGCCTCCTTGTCACGTTCGGAACCTCCTCCCGCATCCTCCCACACTCTGCATCTCCATCTGCACCCCCCTTGCTCAGGGTCAGAACCCCCTTCCCCATCCTACTCCTCCCAGAACCTGCACCTGCATCCGCTGTCACGGTCATATGCCCACTCCTGCACTCCAGTCTCCTTAGCCCCACTCCAGAGTTCCCACCTCCACCCTGAATCCCTCATTTCTGGTCCCATCCTGGAGCGTATGGAAAGCCCTGCATCCCTGTGTTCCCCGTGGGGCTGTGTGCAGCCACAATGGATTTTTGTTGTGGGTCCGTGGCCCCAGACAGAAATTGTTTTCCCCAGCTCTTCTCAGAAACCTCTCCAAATTAGCAACATCTTTCTTGCATTGTGGACACCAGAACTGGACACGGTATTCCAGCAGTGTACACACACGTGCCAAATATAGCGGTAAATTAACCTCTCGACTTCTACTTGAGATTCCTCTGCTCATACATCTGTAGTCAGGTGAGGTGACCTCCCACCAACCCAGAGAGGGAGGGACCACCCACTGAGCCCTGGTGGGCAGAGCCCAGTCAAGCTCACCCCTGTGGGTGTAACAGGAAGTAGCTAAGGCGGGACTTGGAGCTCAGTTGGGTTGCTCCCTCTGAAAGTGCCAGATGCCTCCTGCCTGTTCCCGAGCTGGGAGACTGCTGCAGGCCAGAACTGCCAGAGACACCTGATGACCAAGCCATGGAGGAGTGGCTGGGATTGTCTTGGGCCTTCTGTACTGATGACCCAGAGGACCCCCTATGGATCCAGGTACAGCGTGCGTGCGTGTGTGTGTGTGACCCAGACACAGCCAGCCTTCCTCCAGCTGCATTATCACTCATGACCTAGTCAGGGTGTTGCGCCCTGGGACAGCTCGCAGTAGAGTGGATGGGCCTGCATCTCTTGCCCCCACCCCATGCCACCTCTACTCTGGAGTGGCAGTCTCCTTTCTCTAGGCCAGGAACCCTTTATTTGTTGGCTGTCCGCCAGAGCTAGGATGCCTGACCCCCTTGCGGCGCAACCCTGAATACAAGCCCAAGCCTGAGACTCTTGTTGCCACATTCCTGACTAAGAGCCTGGGCTCCCTACCTGTGTTTGCTGCTTGACCCGAGCTAGAGGCTCCCGTTGTCCCCCTAATTCCCAATGGATGTAGTGAGGTGGGAAGGCCTCCCACTGACTTGAAGGGGGAAGGACCACTACCTCCAAACCACCAAAGCATCCAAAGGGGGAATTAGTCTTTTCGGCTTCACCATCCCCTAAGGAGCTCATGTTCAGTTGATTATCCACCAGGATGCCCAAATCTTTCAGAATCATTGTTGCTCAGGATCATGTCCCCATCCTATACTTATGGCCGATGTTCTTTGTTCCTAAAAATACTCATCTTTCAAGAAATGAGAACTGACAAGACAGATTGCACATGGCTCTGAAAGAGCTGTGATGATCTATCATACGAGTCTTGACGTTTAGATGAATATGTTAATGAAGTATTATTATTGTCATCAGCGTATTGCCTGTACAGTCCATCATGCTAATGTGTCTGCTCTGCAGGCAAACAAAATCAATGTACTAAAATCCTTTCCAAATATCCGTTGAAATAAGTTACTGTCAGGAACAGGAGACAGCTTTCAAATCTGATTTTCATATATACACAGCATAGATGGACATTCCCTTTTGGTCTGCGTGTGTCTCTGTTTAGCAGTAAGCTCACTGCCCTTTTTAACAGCCAAGTCATAGCTATAAGCCCCTAAAAGTAAGGGATGAAGAGGGAGTTGATATACAACACGCTGGCAGGAATCACTATCAATTCAGCAGGGGAGCCCAACTTTGTGCAATAGAAGGCTGTAATGGGAAGCTGACTGAAGAGTGAAGGCCACAGCAAACTACATAGCTGAGAGGCTACAGTTTAAGCATTGCATGCTGAGATCAGAACCTCCATATTAATGGTGCAGCTTCTTTGCACTGCATGGGTGTGATGTAGCTCCCGCCTTGGCCATCTCTGAACTAGAGTAATGTAAGCTTCCAGGCATATCTCCTTCCCTGCTCCCCAGTTGAAGGACTGGTGGAAACAGAAACAGAGAGAGGCTCAACTAGCTCTACTCCTTGTCTTTGGCTAATGACTAAGCGCATTACATGGCAGTTGAGGCAAATAAGATTGTGTCTGACAGGCCAAAGTACCAATGGGTCTGACATTAGTCTCCTCTTGAATTTGGTTTCACTTTGAGAAGCTGCAGAACTAGCAGGAAGAGAAGGAAAACCATTTGACACATCACACACCCACGTTTTCCATCAGGTCTTACCATGGCTCAAGAGCCATCTGCTGTCTGAAACAGCAGCACCTGCGCTTTTCTTGTCAAACGGCTCCTGTTGTTGTGATGGTCAAACATAAATCTCTCTTAAATGGAATAACATTTGCCTCTTCAGCAATTTTTGGTCTACTGTCAGAAAAGCGAAGCTAACTTCCTTCCCCCCAGACACTGCTCACAGTGTCAAAACATCCCAAGAGAGCACTTTTCCGGAAGCCAAATGTCATTTCTAAAAGGTATGTCACCACAGACCTGACAAATCTTTTATTACCTGACTGAAAACATAACCTCATGGTACTAGTGGGGTCAGAGAAAACAAGCCCTGCCTAAATCCTTTCTGTTACCCAAGAGTCCATATATTACATACACTTTTGGTGTAACTCTGTGGAGATTAATGGAGTTACACCAGTGATTAATTTGGCCCTCTGTTTCTGTGTGTCAACCGCAAGGAGTTTTCCACAAACTTCCCTCTGATTTTCATGGAGGGGCTGCCTTCCTTTGTCCCTCTTTGTTCTGAGAGAATTTAGTACTTGTCAGAAGTGAAGTGATGCCCTCCAGAATCTCATTTATCCAGAAACACTCCAGGCATCTCCCAAAGCCCACCCACAAAAGAATGTAAAAATACACGTCTCCACCTTAACCAGAAGGGACAGAACCTCCGTGAAGGAGAGGATCACTCAGTTTTAATGCTCATTCAGTTGTCTGTTTCCCTCGGTGCTGAGACGGATGAAAATGTTGCCTGCGAGAGGATTTTTTAATGTGAACATGTACCCAGCACAGACTGGGCTCAGATCCACCCACTCACTTCAGACAGGCCACCAAGCAGCATCAGGGAAAATGCTGTCACTACTGCAACCTCAGCTGATGTAAATTAGCAGAGTTCCGCCAAGTGAAAAAAACACGTCAATTTACACCCGTTGGATCTGAGTCTGTACTAGCACAGGCTGGGTGTAGAATAATGACCTATAGGTGAAAGGCCACTGTCTAGTTACCACTCTCTTGAGCCATGCAGCTTCCTCTTTATGAATGACTGTTGTAATTTATTTTAATCTTTCTGTAGGCTTTACCTCATCCAGGAACAGGGTAGTTATTTTCAGGTTATCAGTAATCTCTTCTGAATCTGGTGTGGAGAAAGTAAATAAGGAAGTGTTACTCCTCATAACAAAAGAACAGGGGATCACCAAATGAAATTAATAAGCAGCTGGTTTAAAACAAACAAAAGGAAGTTTTTTTTCCACACAGCTCACAGTCAACCTGTGGAACTCCCTGCCAGAGGATGCTGTGAAGTCCAAGACTACAACAGGGTTCAAAAATAACTAGATAAGGTTATCATAGAATCATAGGACTGGAAGGGACCTCGAGAGGTCATCGAGTCCAGCCCCCCACCCTCAAGGCAGGACCAAGCTCTGTCTACACCATCCCTGACAGATGTCTATCTAACCTGTTCTTAAATATCTCCAGAGAGGGAGATTCCACCACCTCCCTTGGCAATTTATTCCAATATTTGACCACCCTGACAGTTAGGAATTTTTTCCTAATGTCCAATCTAAACCTCCCCTGCTGCACTTTAAGCCCATTACTCCTTGTCCTGTCCTCAGAAACCAAGAGAAACAAATTTTCTCCTTCCTCCTTGTGACACCCTTTTAGATATTTGAAAACCACTATCATGTCCCCCCTTAATCTTCGTTTTTCCAAACTAAACAAGCCCAGTTCACGAAGCCTGGCTTCATAGGTCATGTTCTCTAAACCTTTAATCATTCTTGTCACTCTTCTCTGTACCCTTTCCAATTTCTCCACATCTTTCTTGAAATGTGGCGCCCAGAACTGGACACAGTACTCCAGCTGAGGCCTAACTAGTGCAGAATAGAGCGGCAGAATGACTTCACGAGTTTTGCTTACAACACACCTGTTAATACAACCTAGAATCATATTTGCTTTTTTGGCAACAGCATCACACTGTTGACTCATATTCAACTTGTGGTCCACTATGACCCCTAGATCCCTTTCCGCCATGCTCCTTCCTAGACAGTCGCTTCCCATCTTGTATGTATGGAACTGATTGTTCCTTCCTAAGTGGAGCACTCTGCATTTCTCCTTATTAAACCTCATCCTGTTTACCTCTGACCATTTCTCTAACTTGCTAAGGTCATTCTGAATTATGTCCCTATCCTCCAAAGAAGTTGCAACCCCACCCAGTTTGGTATCATCTGCAAACTTAATAAGAGTACTCTCTATCCCAATATCTACATCATTGATGAAGATATTGAACAGTACGGGTCCCAAAACAGACCCTTGAGGAACTCCACTTGTTATCCCTTTCCAGCAGGATTTAGAACCGTTAACAACAACTCTCTGACTACGGTTATCCAGCCAATTATGCACCCACCTTATCGTGGCCCTATCTAAGTTATATTTGCCTAGTTTATCAATAAGAATATCATGCGAGACCGTATCAAATGCCTTACTAAAGTCTAGGTATATGACATCCACCGCTTCTCCCTTATCCACAAGGCTCGTTATCCTATCAAAGAAAGCTATCAGATTAGTTTGGCATGACTTGTTCTTCACAAACCCATGCTGGCTATTCCCTATCACTTTATTACCTTCCAAGTGTTTGCATATGATTTCCTTAATTACCTGCTCCATTATCTTCCCTGGGACAGACGTTAAACTGACCGGTCTATAATTTCCTGGGTTGTTCTTATTCCCCTTTTTATAGATGGGCACAATATTTGCCCTTTTCCAGTCTTCTGGAATCTCCCCTGTCTGCCATGATTTTTCAAAGATCATAGCTAAAGGCTCAGATACCTCCTCTATCAGCTCCTTGAGTATCCTGGGATGCATTTCATCAGGACCTGGTGACTTGCTGACATCTAACTTTCCTAAGTGATTTTTAACTTGTTCTTTGTGTATCCTATCTTCTAAACTTACCCTCTCTCTGCTTGTATTCACTACGTTAGGCACACCTCCAGACTTCTCGGTGAAGACCGAAACAAAGAAGTCATTGAGCATCTCCGCCATTTCCAAGTTCCCTGTTACTGCTTCTCCCTCCTCACTAAGCAGTGGGCCTACCCTGTCCTTGGTCTTCCTCTTGCTTTTAATGTATTTATAAAAGGTCTTCTTGTTTCCCTTTATGCCTGTAGCTAGTTTGATCTCATTTTGTGCCTTTGCCTTTCTAATCTTGCCCCTGCATTCCCGTGTTGCTTGCCTATATTCATCCTTTGTTAGTTGTCCTAGTTTCCATTTTTTATATGACTCCTTTTTTATTTTGAGATCATGCAAGATCTCCTTGTTAAGCCAAGCTGGTCTTTTGCCATATTTTCTATCTTTCCTACACAGCGGAATTGTTTGCTTTTGGGCCCTTAACAACGTCCCTTTGAAATACTTCCAACTCTCCTCAGTTGTTTTTCCCTTCAGTCTTGCTTCCCATGGGACCTTACCTACAAGTTCTCTGAGCTTATCAAAATCTGCCTTCCTGAAATCCATAACCTCAATTGTGCTGGTCTCCCTTCTACCTTTCCTTAAGATCATGAACTCTATTATTTCATGATCACTGTCCCCTATACTGTCTTCCACTTTCAAGTTCTCAACTAGTTCCTCCCTATTTGTTAAAACCAAATCCAGAACAGATTATGTGGGATAGGTTCATCAATGGCTTTTAGCTAGGATGGATAGGCATGCTGTCCCTAAGCTCTGTTTGTCAGAAGCTGGGAATGGATGACAGGAGAGGGATCACTTGATGATTACCTGTTCTCTTCGTTCCCTCTGGGGCACCTGGCATTGACCATTGTTAGAAGGCAGGATACTAAGCTAGATGGATCTTTGGTCTGACCAAGAATGGCTGTTCTTACTATCTTAATAGGATCCCAGGGCTTTTTGTACAAACAAAACAAAGTTGTGAATTAGCCTTCACTCAATGTGTAGAAATGTTTTGACATTTGCATTTTCAATTCACCCTTAGAGGCTCTGGAGTCAAAAATTTCAAACCTGACTGCTTACAGTTTAGGCTCCCACATCTATTCTTAGGCAGCTCAATAGAAGCCGCCTACATTTCAATTGTGCTGAGGGGCGTCTGTTGGTTTCTATAGGATCTGTGGGTGCTCCAAGCTTCAGTCCATTTAAATCCACGTGGAGCCATCTACAAGTGAATGTATAGGGTTTCAGATATGATGACATGTTAACAGGGCCTGATGTGCAAAATCTGCAGAACACCTGCACCTCCTTTGAAAACCTGGCCCTGCCTTAGCAAAGCCACTTGTCACATGGATTTAGACACCTACTTTTAGGAACCCAGGTGTAGACATTCTGGAGTTGACAAGTAACATATAAAGAACCTTTGCAAAGAGGATGTAATAAATTTGTCTGTGCACATTTTAGCGATGTTAAAATGTGTTTAGTTTGTTAAATGTGCACCTGCTGAAATGTTCATGGGGTACATGTTTACACGGAGAAGGAGGGAGGCAGCAGCACAGGGGGAACAGACAGCTCTCTGGGACCTTATGCTCACAGGTAGCCTGCTGAAAAGGCAGCTCCCTGCGAATACTAGCTCCCATCTATGCCTCCCCCTGTTGCGCTGTTGCCTCTGGAGGGGAGAGGCTGCATTTAACCATTTACACTATCACATCCCTACTGTGCATAGAATAGAAGAAGTATTATAAAAGTGTTCCATAGTAATAAACTGTAGACTAGGTTGAAATAATTGGTAAAAATTAGCTACACAGTGTAATACAAATATCTTATTATGGCAGCCCATAAACAACAGCATGATGATACACAGAAAAATTAAAAAACCTGGTGTCAAGAACAAAAATAAGTTAGCAGTAACTTTCCCCAGATTAAGAAATAGCTATGATAGCATCCAAATGCCACTTTCTAGTGCCTCTCTGCCAGCTTTTCATAACCTGGAGAGAGGATGGATATTTCATATACATTCTCAGCTGGTTTCAAGACAGATAATTTCCATATTAAGGCAGCATCTATCAGCACCGTCAGCTTTAATGCAACATCCTGGATCAAGAAAATATGGCTTCTCAGATCCAGATGGAGTGTTCCACTGCAGTGAATCCATAGGTAGAAATAGCAGACGCAGTGATACAGAAACGTTGCCACCCACAGACACAGAGGAAGCTGGGACTAGACCTCTTGCTTTCCTTTAACTCCCCGCCACCCCCACCCAAGATCTCTACCAAAGGAGCTAAAGGAAAACCCTGGGAGCTGCTATGGGCAGAATAGCCTCGTGAAGCCAATATGGGAGGCCTCACCTCACACTAGTCCAGCCACAGCAAGAAAAGCAAATATGATAGGCGACCAGATTGGCTTACTGGAGACATCCATGGTGATCTTAAACACAAAAAGGAAGCTTACAAGAAGTGGAAACTTGGACAGATGACTAGGGAGGAGTATAAATCTATTGCTCGAGAATGCAGGGGAGTTATTAGGAAGGCGAAAGCTCAATTGGAATTGCAGCTGGCAAGGGATATGAAGGGTAACAAGAAAGATTTCTACGGACATGTTAGCAATAAGAGGGTGATCAGAGAGGGTGTGGGGCCCTTACTGGATGAGGGAGGTAACCTAGTGACAGGTGATGTGGGAAAAGCTGAAGTACTCAATGCTTTCTTTGCCTCTGTCTTCACAGACAAGGTCAGCTCCTAGACAAATGCACTAGGCAATACAGTATGGGAAGGAGGTGGACAGCCCTTGGTGGGGAAAGAACAAGTTAAGAACTATTTAGAAAATCCATGGGCCCAGATTTAATGCATCTGAGGGTACTGAGGGAGTTGGCAAATGTCATTGTGGAGCCTTTGGCCATTATCTTTTAAAACTCATGGAGATCGGGAGAGATCCCGGGTGATTGGACAAAGGCAAATGGAGTGCCCATCTTTAAAAAAGGGAAGAAGGACAATCCAGGGAACCACAGACCAGTCAGCCTTACCACAGTCCCTGGAAAAATGTTGGAGGGAATCCTCAAGGAATCCATTTTGAAGCACTTGGAGGAGGGGAAAGTGATCAGGAACAGCCAACATGGATTCACAAAGGGAAAGTCATGCCTGACCAATCTGATTAGCTTCTCTGATGAGGTAACTGACTCTGTGGATATGGGACAGTCAGTGGATGTGATAT